ATCCATAATTGTACTTGGCACCAGGACACTCTAGGTAGTAGATTGACGATTGACCATGTAGTCATGTCAACTGATTTGCGGCCATTTGTTTTGGACATTCGGGTGAAGACAGGAGCTGAGCTGTCAACTGATCACCATCTGGTAGTGAGTCGGGTCAGATGAGGGAAGATGCCGGACAGACCCGGTAGACCTAAATGTGTAGTGAGGGTTTGCTGGGAACATCTAGCAGAAGAACCTGTTAGAAAGATCTTCTACTCACACCTCTAGGAGAGCTTTAACTGCATCCCAGCTGAGGCAGGGGGTAGGGGGGCGTGGCATTGAATCCAAATAAGCCATGTCCCACAAATCAATGGATGAGGTGGCTGCCTTGAGCTGTGGCTGCAAAGTTGTCAGTGCTTTTCGCGGTGACCATCCTTGAACTTGGTGGTGGACACCCCAGGTTAGGGAGGCTGCCAAGCTTAAGAAGGAGTCCAATTGGGCCTTGTTGGCTGGTGGGACTCCAGGCAGCTGAGGAGTACCAGAGGGCCAAGCAGTCTGCAGCCTTGGCTGTTGCTGAGGCAAAAGCTCAAATTTGGGAGGAGTTTGGTGAGGCTTTTGATAGAGATCCTTGGTCAGCTCCAAGGGGATTCTGGCAAACCATCAGGTGGCTGGGGGGGGGGGGGGGGGGTGCTTTTCTAACACTATGTTCAATGAAGGTGGGGTGCTGTTGACCTCAACCATTGATGTCGTCAGGAGGTGGAAAGAATATTTCTCGGCCCTTTTCAATCCCACAGGCACATCTTCCTTGGAGGAAGCTGAGTCGGAGAATTTTGGGGTTGGTCTGTCCATAACTGTGGCTGAGGTCGCTGAGGTAGTTAAAAAGCTCCAAGGCGGCAGGACTCCAGGAATAGATGAGATTCACCCTGATTTCCTTAAGACTCTGGATGTTGTGGGACTACTTTTGCTGACATGCATTTGCAACATTGCGTGGACAGCGAGGAAGTACCACTGTACTGGCATACTGGGATGGTGGTTCCCCTCTTCAAAAAGGGGGACCAGAGGGTGTGCTCCAATTATAAGGGTATCACTTTCCTTAGCCTCCCTGGTAAGGCCTATTCAGAGGTAATGGAGAAGCGAATTTAATTGTTGGTCGAAACTCAGATCCAGGAGGAACAAAGCTGGGTTCCATCCTGGCCGTGGAACATTGGATCAGCTCATTACACTAGGATCCTCAAGGGTTCATGGGAGTTTGCTCATCCAGCTCATTGCTATGCGCTACTCGATCCCAATATACAAGCGGTGCAAGAGTTTGGTTCGCATTGCCGGTAGTAAGTTGGACCCCTTCATGGTGGGAGTTGGACTCAACCAGGGCTGCCTGTTGTCATAAATTATTTGAAAAACTTTTATGGACAGAATTCCTCAGTGAAGCCAGGGGTGGAGGGAGTCCGTTTCAATGAGCTCAGGAATCAATCTCTGCTATTTGCAGATGATGTGGTCCTGTAGGCGTCATCGTGACTTTCAGTTTTCACTGGAGCGATTCGCTGCAGAGTGTGAAGTGGCTGGGATGAGGATCAGCACCTCCAAATCTGAGGCCATGGTCCTCAGTCAGAAAATGGTGTATTAATCATTTCGGGTCGAGGGTGAGGTGCTTCCTCAAGTGGAGGAGTTCAAGTATCTCGGGTTTTGTTCACGAGTGAGAAAATAATGAAGCGTGAGATTGACAGACAGATTGGTGCAACGTCTGCAGTACTGCGGACTCTGTGCGTGTCTGTTGTAGGGCATTAACAGAGTACTCGAGTAATCTACACATCGATTGCTAGGACATCTATCAAGGTTAAAAATGTAACGTTGGGTATCCGTAGTGACGTCATATTATGTGACCACCGTATGACCGTAGGGGGCGGTGTTGCACTGTTGCAGGTCACAGAGTATGGTGTAACACCGGGCCCAATCCACCGAACCAGAACCAGTTTCGGTTTAAGTTTCGTTTTTGACATGCTGCATGTTTCTTCATGTTTGCAGTTTAATAATAATAACTAATAGTTTAGTTTTTCCTGTGACTTATTTGCAGTATGATAAATGGTAGGAGCATAATATACGCTCCCAATGTTTTGTTGGTCTTTATTTGGGTAAATAATTACCTTTTTTTTGCAGTTTTATTTATTTATTTATTTTTGTATCTTGAGATCTATGACGTCATTAAATACTCGAGTTCTACTCGGGTTTTATTATGTTAATGTCGAGTTTAAAAATTATATACTTGTTCAACCCCTAGTCTGTTGTGGTGAAAAGGGAGCTGAGCTGTAAGGTAAGGCTCTCTGTTTACCGGTCATTCTATGTTCCTACCCTCACCTATGGTCATGAACTCTGGGTAGTGACCAAAAGAATGACATCGCAAATACAGGCGGTTGAAATGAGTTCCCTATGCAGGGTAGCTGGACTCTCCCTTAGATATAGGGTGAGAAGTTCAGTTATCTGTGAGAGACTTGTAGTAGAACCACTGCTCCTCCACTCCGAAAAAAGCCAGTCGAGGTGGTTCAGGAATCTGGTAAGGATGCCCGTGGGTGCCTCCCTAGGGAGGTGCTTTGGGCATGTCCAACTGGGAAGAGACCCCAGGGAAGACCAAGGACACACTGGAGAGATTACGTCTCTCGGTTGGCCTGGGACCTTGGAGTCCTCTCAGAAGAACTGGAAGAGGTGGCTGTGGAAAAAAAAATGTCTGGGCCTCCCTGCTCAAGCTGCTGCCCCCACAACTCAACTTCAGAACAAGTGGAAGATAATGCATGGATGGATGGATGGATGGATAGATGGATGAATACAACAAAACAAAAAAAATATCTTATGTCTGCTACTAAGAATACATATTTACTACCAAACAAAATAATGAATATACACAAAATGTTCTAAAATTATAATACTCTTTTATAAAACCTGAGAATTAACAAACAACAGAACAAATGAGGCCTAAAACAAAACTCATAAAAACTATAGTAATTGACCTGCTCCTCTTTTAATCATTAAAAGGAACAGATTGTGTTACTATAACAACCTGAAACGTTTAGATTAAATCATAAAACTGTGTCTACTGATGCATCACAATGGGACAATGTATATCTAAGAACTGGTAAAAAATTGTTAGTTTTCAAATTCATCAATATATACTACGGTCAAAATAGGCATAGTGGTTGTTTTGGCATGCATCAATAGAGTAAGAAAAATTTATGCTCAACAGACATTCCTTAAAAACTGAAAGTGCACATACACTGAAACCACATTTACTTTCCAGGTAAACCTTCTTTAACTCTTGCAGTCACAATATTATTACGCAAGTCTCTGAAGCTGATGCTGCTCATATGAAACGCAACAAAAACACAAACGAGCCTGAAGGTATTTTTAGACAAACATGCAACGTGTGTGATTAGACAAAAACTACATTATTTAATATCTGCTGTCTTCATATTTGGGGCACTGAAAAAATGTTCGAAGTTACAGCCCTGAAAGCCTATCCATGCCAATAATGACAACAATGATAATAATAATAATAATAATAATAAAATGAAGAAAAAGAAGAGGATGAAGATGACAAAGAAGAATGATATGATCAGCAACAATATTAATAATAATTTGCTGAATCAGCTTATTTTTATTTTAACAGTGTAATCCAATTCAATTAAATTCAGTTCAGTTTATTTAAATAGCACCAAGTCACAACAGAAGTCATCTCAGGACACTGAACAGAAACATTCAGAAGATCAAATCATCTCCACAGGGACTAGTGGGTAAAAAATTTGTTAAAGTGAGCAAGAAAGGGGGCTAAGGCAAAAAAGAGCTGCAGTGAACAACTTCTCTTCATATTCAGCTTAATGAAAACGTGCTGATCAAAGCAGTCAGAGGTACTAACTGACTGTTTCAAATAACCACAGATATGCTTCAGCACCATTACAACCCATAACCTGGATGGTGTTCTGGAGCACCATCAAACTGGTTGATCCACTAAGAGAAGGTGCTATTTATAAGACTGAGTTTGTTGTGGCTCCTCAGACTGAAGGAGTCTTTATGATGAAAGACAAAACATTTAAACAAAACGAAACCATCCAGAGGACCTGACTTAACCTTGTTGGATTTTTCTACCTGGATTATTGAGCATGAATCAAGATACGTTGAATTGAATTTCGCAGATATTTACAATAAACTATAAATACTTGAAATTGACTATCTCACAGAGGGAACTTTGTGAGTTTTGGGAAAAATTAAGTTAAATGGAGACACACATCTTTGCTAAAATCTGGGGCATCAACAATTTAGCATTTATATTTTTTCATCACAGCAGAAACAGCCAGTCTGACAGAGACACTCAAACAGGCTGCGTGCACTCCCACAGCGGCGCTCTCTTTCTCCAGGACCAAGTGTTTGGTCATGTGCCCATGTTGGATATGTCTGTACAATAACAACAGTGCTCATATTGACACATATGAATATTTAATACAAAAGTAGATTTTAGATAAAGACCTGGGGGAGGGGTGGTGGTGGTGTGGGTGTACAATTTTCTTTCTCTAAAGAAGGAACCCAACAAAAAAGTTTGAGAACCACTGGGTTAGACCGTGACTACTAAGTTCTGAAGGCGTCTATTTAGTCAAAGTTGAATTATTTTTTAATACAAGAGGGTGATCATATGAAAATGCCTGCAGTGTTTTGAAGAACTGCAATAATAAGAATCCTGTTTATTAAATGCCTAACACCAGAAATCCCAAGTAAGAAGGATAATTAATTGTGGTATTCATTATACTCTAATAAAGTGAGCAAATGTATGTGGCAGGTCAATATAGGGGCCTATGGAGAAGATAACCTCGGCCCCCACACTGCAGAGCCCGAGCGGCTGGAGCCTAATGAAGACTGAATTTTAATCATCGTGAGGATAGAACTCCTCCAGGAGACACACACCAACACCTGGGAATGTAAATGCATGTGTATACACACACACACGCGCGCACACACACACACACACACACACACAAGCTCACCTCACAAGATTTTCGTTGTCGCCTGGTCCTTTGCAGGTCGTACACTCAGTCCTCGTGTCGTCAGTTTTGGGTTTTTTTGGCACTGCAGACTGGCGCTGTCTGCGCTCTCGAGGCAGTGGTTCCTATGGAAACAAATTATTAGACATGACAGCTGGACAGATGTTTGTTGCAACATGTAAAAAAATTATTAAACAACAAACATTTTGTTGCTTCTACTTCTTTATTTGACACAGTTACAAATGGAAAATCAGCCACTTCACTTACTCAAACTTCTACAAATCAAATCCCTCCTAAAAGTCAATCCAAAGTTAATCACACCTTCTCTTTTTCTCCATTCTCAGTTAGTGAGGTCAATAAACTGTTAAAAAATGTTGATCCTAAAAAATCTGCAGGTCCAGATGAACTTCCACCTTATTTCTTAAGGCTGGCTGCTCATATCATCACAGTTCCTGTGACCCACATCTTCAATCTCTCCATAAGCCAAAACTCCATTCCAGACACTTGGAAAACAGCCTTTGTTCTTCCTTTGCTGAAGGGAGGTGACCCCACCTCACTGAACAACTATCAGCCAATCTCTAAACTCTGCATTTAGCCAAGGTTCTAGAAAAACTGATAAACTCTCAAATCAAAAATTACCTGGACTCATTTAACATCTTACCTCTCCATCAATCTGGTTTCAGGAAACAACACAGGATGACTGCTTCACTGAAGGTTCTTAATGACATTGTTGAAGCACTGGATGTTAAGGATTATTGTGCTGCACTTTTCTTAGACCTGTCTAAAGCTTTTGACACTGTGGATCATAACATCTTGTGTCATAAGCTCTCAGAAATCGGTTTCTCAGAACACACCATTGGTTGGTTCTCTAACTATCTCTCAGATCTGAGGCAATGTGTTCAACATAATGGTACTTCCTCCTGTTTTTTAACAGTCAACAATGGTGTACCACAAGGCTCAGTCTTAGGACCCACCCTCTTTACAATCTACATAGGTAATGTAGGTCAAAACACCCCTGATGCATGCATACATTTCTATGCTGATGACACAGTTGTTTATTGCCGAGCTTCAACAGTTGATAAGGCTTTCCAGCTTTTGAAATCTGCATTCAAGATCATCCAGTCTGATTTGTTGGACCTCAAACTTGTCCTAAATGTCGGTGTAGTGAACTAGGCTTCAGGTCAGGTCCTGGCCTTGGGGCCTTCCTGGGACAAGAACTGTATTTCATTGATTTGAGTCCAGAAACACAAGATTAAGTTCATCCAGAGACTTCCTAAGTGTCCTGCACTGATCAATTGAAAGAACACTCTCTTTTTTATTATCATTACTATTTTACAAATGTTTTGATAATCAAAGTGTGTTTAGTTCAAACCATTTTTAAATGTTGAAGTGAACTACTCATTTTAATTCAACTGTGAAACAGTATTAGTGATTTTTAATCCTCATTCAAAGTAGAAATCAAATTGGAATTTGTTACGGAGTAATTCATGCATTTTCTGATCTTCTGTCTGAAATGAGCAAGTTGTGATGTCGGTCAAAGGTCGAAGACAAGTTGTTGGAACGAACTGTCATGTTTTTATATCCTCTCAGACGTAAATAGAGAAGCGGGCACCTGTTTTCCCCCAACTCGCCCAAACATTTCTCTCGTCTGTCTCTAAAACATTTCCAGTCTGTTCCAAAACATTCTTTCTGTTTTTCTGACTTCTAGTAACCTCTTACATCACAAAAATACACCTCTGTTTGGTCAATCGACCAATCAGAAACTTCCCAAATGAACCGGAAATAGAACTCTTTAAATGTCGGCACTTCCTAGTTCAGTCGGGTCGTGTTGGAGCTAGTGCAGTCGAGTTCGGTTCGGAGAGCAAACCGAACGGGAAAAATTGCTGGAGAGTTCAGGAGGTCCAGACATGATCCGGAGTTCTTCCGAGTCTTGTGGGAATTATGACATCTTCCACATCTGAGTGGAACTCTGACGGACTTACTCCTCTTGTGAGTCCACCGAGAGGTGAACCTGTGTCGAACAAGTAGCGTCACTACTTCGGACGATTCACAGCTGTTCCTACGGAGACGCTGAAAGGGTGCGTTAAATGGAACTCCGTACCAGTGGAGACACCTGCTACAGGTAAAGAGTTGATTTACACCACCTAAGTGTACCGAGGAGGAAGCTGGGATCTCAACGGAGCGTGTCGTCCTGATACTGACACAATTCCCTCATCCATCTTTTCCTCTCCATTTAAACTTCATTTCCATCTTTAAACTCTTCTATCCTGCTAGCAAATCATTCCAGATATTTTCAGAAATGTCTGTTGTAATGCTTGAAATGGGGAAACCATGGCCGTATGGTTTCCTCCTTGTAAAACTTGCTAATTAATTATGTTGTTGTTGAAATCAATTTGCCAAATTAATGTAAATGTTTGATGTTAAACTTTGATTCTGTTAATAAATGGCCGCATTCATTTGATGGGTCAAAGAAAATTAATGCCTCACGTTACATTTTATTAAATTCAATGCACGATATTATTCAGTCCAGAAAAATGAATGAATCCGTTTAATTTATGAATATATCACAGTATATGTTCATCTACACCGGCAAAACCAAAGGGACGCTTTTTTCAAATAGGAAGTCGGTCCCAGCAGTTCTTCCTCTGATTTCATCCTCAAATGGTGTCCCTATTGAGTTTGTTGATTCCTATAAATATTTGGGTATCTTGGTCGACTCACATCTTTCTTTTAAGCTTCATGTGGAAAACTTGGTAAAGAAACTAAAGTTAAACTGGGTTTCTTTTTCAGAAACAGATCCAGTCTAACTCTGAATGCTAGGAAACACCTTGTTTCTGTGACTTTCCTTCCCTCCCTTGATTACGGTGACATTATTTACATGAACGCTCCTACAAGCACCCTGCGGATGTTGTCTATCATGGTGCACTAAGATTCATAACTGGCTGTGATTATCGTACCCACCACTGCACCCTGTATTCACTGGTTAATTGGACATCATTAACTTCACGCAGACTCTCTCACTGGTACATTTTCATCTTTAAATCACTTCTTGGTCTGCTGCCTTCATACATCTCCTCCTACATGTCTCTGCATGAGTGCAGCTACAACGTGCACTCTCAGGACATTATTACCTGCAGTGTTCCCTTAATGAGGACTGAACTAGACAAAAGGGCCTTCTCCTACTCTGCTCCTGTTTCCTGGAATATCTTACACAAAGATCTGAAGCTCTCAACCTTGACCTCTCTAAGTGGCTTTAAGAATCTGTTGGACTCCTGGCAGGGACCAATGCAGACATGTTCCTGTTTTTAGTTTTCTACATTCGCCTTAGAATCTAGCTGTTTTTTGTAACTTTTTTTTTAGTCATCTTATTTGTAAAAAAAATTAAATAATAAATCTGTATGCCTTTTTATAACCGTCTATTGTTGTCGCTGTTGTCCATTGTTGTCATCATTCTTTGTTGAAATCAGGTCTCTCTTGTAAATGAGTCCTAGAGGCTCAATGTGATTTACCTGTCTAGATAAAGGTTGTATGAATATGTTGAACTAAGAAAAGACAGAGCAATTATTTGCCATTTTGTAACAGAAAAAACGTTTCAATATTCAAAAACAAAAGGAAGGAAATTGTGTGCACTGTTGTACAATATTTTATAATAACTGGTTCCATCTATAAACAGCATTAAAGGACATTCATAAAACAGTTTTCTAGAGCCTGCTGAAAGGTTCTGTGCACTTGGCAGCTGAAAGATATCTCCATTTAGCTTCCATTCAACCTTCACTTTAGACCCCCCCAGTCTGCGACTCAGATGCCGTCATTTCTGAATGGACTGAGGAGGCGAGACGGGTTCAAGGAGGGCGGTAGTAACAGAGCCAAAATGGCTAATATGTGAAAAAGTAAGCTGGTGCTGCTGCTCACGTTAGTGATAAAGTGATGGCATCTTGTCTGTGAGACCACCAGGTCACGGGATTAAACAAGAACAAATACATTTATTACAGACGGAATATCACTGATGACTCACAACAACTTTGTATTTAGTAATAATAATAAAAAACACATTTAACCACAAAGGGAATCATTGAAGTATGTTAATTCGTCATGTTTTGAAAATAACAGGATAGAGACCTCCATCACATGTTTAATGTGTTGCTCTCAACATCAAGGCAGCTGAGTTCTGCTCCATGCCTCTTATGGTTGGTCAAAGCTTGCTTCATTTCTGTAAACTCACATCTGTGCGAGACATGGCCAGCTCCATCACTAATTTATGAACAGCCAAAGAAAGCCAGAGTGGTCTGTGCCTTATTTCTCAAAACTATTTGGTGAAAGAATCTTATGATGATTCTGCTGGTACCAGTACATGATATGCCCAACAGCAAGCTTTACAGCAGGCTATGCCTCAGAACTGAGACATGGAGGCAACGTTACTGATGTATGTGGAGGGAACAAAGAACAGAGCATCAGCTAAAACAAACATTCTTCCAAAGCCAGGAATATAAAAAAAAACATTAAAATGAATTTAGTTAAAGAAAGACGTAAAAGGTATGAAAAACTTGAATGGGTCTGAAAACTAAACGTACCTCGAATTTCTCTTCTCTGTCTTCAGCCATGGAAACTCTTTTTCTCTTCTGCCCTCTGGTTCTCTGTGAAGCACAAACATTTCACTTTTAAGCACCAACAAAATTCCATTAAACTTCACACAAGTCTGAGCGGAATGCATAAAAACCTTTTTTTATTCAGAGATGGCAATTTTCACCTCTAAATTTCAACTTGAATTGCCCACCAGAATTTTAAGAACCAGGATCCTGTGAATACAGATCTGTCAAAACCAATGAGTATGATAATCATAATGTCTGAACTCAAAGTGTTTTTGCTAGTACTCTGTTGGTACCACACACGTCTTGGTTTTGTTACTTTGTCACTTTATTTTACTCGTCGCTGCTTATTGCTATTTGTTACAGTTTTGACAATTCTTAACCTTTTATATATTTTTGTTTTATTTGTCTGTTGTGATATTTTAGGTTTAGGTTTTTTATTTGGAAGGCATTTTGTGTCCACGGCATGGGTTCTGGAATCAATCTCCTTGAGAGGAGATGGACCTTACACTACTCCGGAGTTGCCCATGGTGATATGGTGAGAGGTGCCAGGCTGTTTTGGGTCTACTTATTGCCCCACAGCTTGGTCCCTGTACGTTCGGTTTTCCCAGTAGATAAGAGGGTAGCTTCCTTATGACTTTAGGTGGGAGGAATGGGAAAAGACTGCTGTTTGTGCCTAGCATGGTGGAAGGTGCTTCAGTTGGGGTCTCATTTATTCTGTTGGGGGATTTCAAAGTCCATGTGGGTAATGGCAATGTGACATGGAGAGGCATGACTGGGAGGAACGGACTCTCTGACCTGGAACCATGTGGTGCTCAGTTGGACTTCGGTGCTAGTCACAGTTTGTCCATCACAAACATCATGTTCAAACTGAGGATGCCCATAAGTGCATATGGCACAAGGACACTATAGGTTGCAGACCGATGATCGACTTTGTAGTTGTGTCATCTGATCTGTGGCAATGTGCTTTGGACACTTGGGTGAAAAGAGGAGCTGAGCTGTCAATTGATCATCACCAAGTGGTGATTTCAGATCTCTGGAGAAGATACCGGACAGAGCTGGTACGTTCAAATGTGAAGTGAGAGTTTGCTGGGAACACCTGGCAGAAGAACCCATCAGAAAGACCTTCAATTTACACCTCCCAGAAAACTTTAACCACATCCCAGCTGAGGCAGGGGTCATAGAGTCTAACTAGGTGACATAGAGTCTAACTGGGCCATGTTCCGCGTCTCCATTGTCGAGGCGGCTACCTTGAGCTGTAGCCACAAAGTTGTTGGTACTTCTTGCAGTGGCCAATCTCAAACGCAGTGATAGACACCTGGGGTTAGAGAGGCCACCAAGCTGAAGGAAGAGTCCTATCGGACCTTGTTGGTTGATAGGACTGCAGAGGCAGCTAAGCGGTGGTTGCAGCCCTGGCTAAAAAACATGCATGTTAGGCTACCTTCAGGCCCAGAGTTCCCTTGCAAAAGACCTCTGTGATCTCAGTGGGACTTGCCTGGTTTAATAAACTAACATTTCTCTGTGGAGGCCTCCCAGTGCACGTGTGGGTTTCTTCCAGGTACTCCTGTTATCTCCCACAGATCAAAAACGTGTATTAGGTTTGTTGGCAACTATAACTTGTCTCTAGGTGAGTGAGTGGTTGTTTGTCTCTATTGGTGCTTTGCCACTGTTTCAACTGTCATCCGTTCTGCACCGCACCAGTTAAGGTCCTGCCCATGCCCACCCACCCCCACTCAGTCCAATATATAGGACCACCTCGTATGAGGTTCCAAGCGAACCACTCCAAGGTGCTGATTTTAGTACTAGTAGGCAGCATCCATTGATTGACTGGAGGAGTTATGTCACTGGATGATCCGCCCAGCAAAACTGAAAACCACCTCAATTTCCTCTCTGATTGTGGTGACAGACAGTGCCACAAGAAATAAACACATTTATTGAGCGATATAGGAGATGATGGTGCAGCATGGCTATACCCAAACTTACAAGCAGTGCTGGGACAAGCTATAGAAATTGAAGTCTGATTATAGGGCGATTAAGAACCACAATGGGCGGCGTGGCTCGACATAATAACCAGTTATGATACCGCCCACTTTGCATTGATGATCCCACCCACAGAGCAAGGAAACGAGTCAGAGTGGCAAATCACTTCCACCTGCAAAAAACCGATAGGATGAGAGACGTGTGGTGTCACACTTATCAATGGCAAAGTGTCTTACTCTTACTCTCTGTGATGGACTGGAGATCTGTCCAAGGTGTCCCCCACTTCTCTCACAGTGACTGCTGGACACAGACAAGCTCCCCGACAACCCAGAAAGGAGGGACAGGTAAAAGAAAATGGATGGAGGGTAGAAAAACTCAATCTACCTACCCTGCTTTAGATTTTAATTACAGTTCATTCTTGTAGCTCACAAACTTAAGATAAAAATCTGACTTTTAAAGCAATGGGCCGTATGGATTAATGTCATGCTTCTGTTACATTTCAGTATTTTTAAACATCATTTTCGCAAGGTTCTGATGCTCAGTCAGTAGATTACCAGAGAACTGGACTACAAAGTGAAGGTAACAGCTTAGCCGGCTGTATTGAGATGAAAGTCTGAGTTTTCAGAGTCACAGAGGAGGATTTCTCTGAGTCTGGTTAGAAGATAAGAAGCTCCATCTGTTCACTGATTTTTTTTTTCTTAATGAGATCCCAAAAATTAAAATCTGAGTGAAGCAGCATTTATAATCATTGCTGCTGTAAGATTTTAAACAAACTTAGTGTCAAATGAAACAGAACAAAAACGTCCACCATCATCCTAAATCAGTCAGTGCTCCACATATAGATGATCAAATGTATTTTAGAAAACATCAAAACCATAAATTAAATTATTCATAAAGAACAACTGGACAATCATACTTATACAGCTGCAGATTCCATATGACTGATAAAAATATTCCTTTCAAACTTTAATGGTGGGTCATTTTAGTGGGACATCATTCCCCAACATAATGTAGTATGTCAAGGGACAGCTTTACTGTACCTTCACTACTAATTAATTATTTAAATACAACGGGTTCTTTCTTTTTCGAGTTAAATTAATGCCATGTGACCGAGCTAACTGTGTTCATTGTTTAATCAGTGACATGAGACGTTATTTTTCTTTGACCCATCAGAATAAATGCGGTCATTTATTTAACAGAATCAAAATTTAACATAAAAACATTGTACACTTGATTCGCTGATCTGGTTCTGATAAATAAAAACTTGGCACGCTTTACTAACAAGTCAACAGAACATTTCTGAAGGCATCTAGATTGATTTACTGGCGGAAAGATTTACAAGAGGAGAGATTTAGAGGAAGATGGAGATGGATGGAGGAGAGATGTATGTTTGTTGACCAGAATTAGCACGCTTCTTTCAACACCAGCTCAAACCCCCGGTACACTCGGTGCGCGACACTCATGACGTCTCTTTACCTTGGCAGATGAGGATCAGCTCGGGTATAGATGTCCCTATGCACGCTACCTTTCCAGCGTCTCCGGTTAAAGCGGCTGGTCATTGTCAGAAGTTGTGTGGTTTACTCCGTCAAACAAACAAGCTTCCTTCGAAGTTGCAAGCGTTACGCCCGGGTGAGTTCACAGCGAGGCGCCGTGACTCCGTCAGAGATCCCACTCAGAAGTGGAATACTCCCAGAAGACTCCATGAAAGACCCAAGAAGACTCAGATCAAAGACTGAAGAGTCGAGAAGACTCCGCTTCTTCCAAGACTGAGAAGACTGAATAGTTCCAGGAAGTGTTGACTTTTTAAAGAGTCCTCACTTCCGGTCACTTAGTACTTCCTGATTGGTTGAAACAACCAACAGGGGGTGGTTCTAGTGATGTCAGAGGGTTATTAAAAGTTAAGAGAGGGTGCAAGAATGTTTAGGAACGTTTAGTACAGACAGAGAAATGTTATGGCGAAGTGAGACAGACGCAGATGCCAGTGTTTCTTTTTATCATCTGCTAGGTTTAAAAACAATACAGTTCGTTCTAATAACTTGTTTTCTGACTGTCTCTGACTTTCGACCGACATCACTGACTTCTCATTCAGACAGATGATCAAAATGCATAATTACTTTGTAAATAGACATTTAACTTGATTTCTAATTTAAATGAGGTTTAAAAATCATTAATACTGTTTCACAGTTGATTTAAATGAGTGGTTTACTTTCAACATTAGAAATGATATGAACTTAACACGGGCAGCACGGTGGCGCAACTGGTAGAGCTGCTGCCTCTCAGCGAGCGGGTCCCTGGTTCAAACCCCGGTCCAGGGGCCTTCTGGGTGGAGTTTGCATGTTCTCTCCGTGCATGAGTGGGTTTTCTCCGGGTACTCCGGTTTCCTCCCACAGACCAAAAACATGCATGTTAGGCTGATTGGTAACTCTTAATTGTTCCTAGGTGTGAGTGAGAAAGTGAATGGTTATTTGTCTCGTTTGTCTCTATGTGGCCCTGTGATGGACTTGCGACCTGTCCAGGGTGTACCCCGCCCCTTCGCACAGTGATTGCTGGACATGGGCACCAGCGACCCCCGTGACCCAAAATGGAATAAGCGGGTAAAGATAATGGATGGATGGATGGATGAACTAAACACACTTTTGATTATCAAGATATTGTAAAATTGTAATGATAATATAAAAAGAAGAGTGTTCTTTCAATTGATTAATTCAGGATACAATTAGACAGTCTCTGGATGAGCTAATTTGTATTTCTGGATTCAAATCAATGAAATAACAGTTCCTGTCCCAAGAAGGTCTTCAGAGACATGTTTTGGTCGAGGCCTAGTTCACTACAATAACTTAAAAAAAAAAAAATTAAAATTAAACTCCTGTCATGGAGGGAATAATCAGCTGATGTGTCAACGTAGCACATCTATTGAGGCCTGAAATTACTGTTATCAAATACAGGAAATATTTTTACATTGTTATCATTCTTACAGTGGTTTTTTTTAATCAATCTGTATGCTTTTTTTTGTTGTTGTTAAATTTATTTAACATTTATTTTTACCAGGCAGGGACCCTCTGTCTCTC